GCAGCTCTCGACGCTTAACGGCTTCATTAAGCAAACCATAAAATACCAAAGTTAAAGGTCGTGGTAATTTCTGTTAAAATTTAATGATACGCTGGAAGCAAGATGTACATAAATACGTGAACCCGACTTGTCCTGTTATGGAAATTCCGATTTTTTTTTTTCTTAATTTGCATAAAACTACGCGATTACTTTATCATTCGCACACGGTCTTGGTAAAACTGAAAGAATAAATTATGCACACAACTAGAATATAATAATAGAAAAGAAATATGAATAATGCATTTCTGCAATGATATGTTGCAACACATCGTAAAAATATCACATTATGCACATCGAGTGAACTATAAGCCTGCCGGTTAATGAGAGTTGCCGAATAATTGGACTCCGGATAAGGGAGGTTTATCCGGCACTGAGCAGCCAGAAATGGAAAGGGATAACAGGCAGAGGGAGAGAAAGGAAGGGTTAATAGAGACGAAGAGAGAGAGAGAGGGGAGAGGAACTCGAAGATGAAGTCGAAGGGGGAACTGATTAGGTTTAAATTAAGTTTAGATATTATTATTGACACTCGTTTAATCGATTCTTCGGTCGTGTGGTTTACGGACTGAGAACCGCTGGTCTATATTATTGCTATTGCTAATGTTATTATTACTGTTATTGATATTGTCGTTACTGTCATTATTACCATCATTATTAGGTCTTTCATATTATCATTCTTGTTATCATTATCAATATAATGATTATTGTTATAATTATCAATATAATCATTATTGTTGTAATTATCAATATAATCAATATTGTTATAAATATAAATATAATCATTATTGTTCTCATTAACAGTAAGATAGATTAACACATTTATGATCAGCTGTATGATGACTTATCGTGGAGATATTGATACTAAGTAATAATAATGATGATAGTATTAAAGATAATCATTAATTGCTATTAAACAGAGTCACTTCGCTCCACGTTTTACCCACTTTCCACTGAAATCCCACGCGTCCTGCCTGGTGTCGGCGAGGTGCAGGAGCGGAGCCAGATCCTGAAGGAGGTACACGTATCCCCGGCACTGAGAAGACTCCCACACCTGTCCTGGCAGTTCCTCCGACGGCCTCACGTAGATGAGCTGAAGAAAGGGAAGAAGGGGACCTCATAGAACGTAGAAAGAAGTGCACGTGTGAGTGGGGTTTTGGGGAAGTTTAATGGGAGTCGATATGAGGTCGAAACTATCATTAGAAAGTTTTATTTAGGTTGTTGTTTTGTCTGGATAATGTTATTTTGTGTCTGTCTTTCGTATGTGCCTGTGTTAGGAGCTGTTTGATTTCATATTGCGTTCTAAGTAAGTATTATATTTGTTTCTCTTCCATATATTCGAAGCCATCCTGAGTTTTATTCCATTTATATAATCCTATCAAGATTCTAGGTCCTTAAATACGAACCTTCCTGGGGTTAGGAAGTCTCAGGAGCTCCTTCAGGATGACTGGGATGCGGTAGC